GCAGGCCTTCGGAAACCCACACGAAATATTCTGTTGATACACTGAATTGGGGACCTGATCATCCCTTCGACCCCACTATTGCAGCTGCTTTCCCTCGGAGTCAAACCATTGAGTTCGCCCTTCCTCCTGATGCTTCTCCGCGAAAAAGGCATAATCTCCCCCCAGTTCACATTGGAAGAGCATCGGATCCATATGGTGATGTGCGTGGGGACGAATCTTTGCAGGAAAAGTATACACCTGACCAGAACACCGATGGTTCACGAGACGGCCCTCGTACATCTACACCTCACACCGGGCGCTTCAGCGCCGTCACCCGTACCGCAACCGGTCACGGGGTGACTTTGTCTAGCGTGGAGGGTGATGTGGGTTTTGGCGGATTCCCAATGCCTCATCAGATCCTTGGTAGACTGATTTCGGCAATCTCACCCACATTTTCGAGACACACCCCGAATGCGGTCTCCATTCCTGCACGGACTGTCACCGTGGGCTCGCAAGCTGGAGCTGGTACTGGTACTGTCCGAACGGGACTTGGAATCAATGCTCCCACGAGATCTGTTCCCTATATTTCGTTTGATGCTGTTGTCGGTCGCAATTCCTATTTCCATCACTTATCTAAAGAGGAGGTGGAGGAACTCGGGGGGGTCGAGTACCGGGCACTGCGGACGCTACTATGGCTCGTCCCTGCAGTGAGCGTTTCGATTCCTTTAATATTTCCCCAGTGAGACTCACTAGTTTTTTCATTGGCGAGTATCACTTCGGTGTCCAATTGGTTGCACTCTGTGTCATTGCACCTGTCATTGCCACCAAATGGCAAGCGGTTCTTCGGGCCCAGATCCGTTACATCACCCCGGGGTGGTATGATCAGTCTTCCTCATCATGAACTTTGAATTCTGATGTTTCTTATCTGGAAGGTATTCTGCTTTTGTCGTCGTTTCTGCCTATAGCAACACTGGGTGAATATGTTGTGTGTCTTTGCATAGTATCGATGGTATCCCTGATACCACCTTGGGTGCAGAATGTCGCTCGTAGACCAGTCGCTGATACCGTTCCAGACCGCAGTTCCTCAGCTTCTATTTCTCATATTCGTGGTTTTCGCTGGGAACAGTGCATACGTGAGTTTTCCATTCTAATGAATCCTTATCGCAATGCTGAAAGCAATTCCACTAGCCCGTGTTGTCAGTTATTGTTTTATTGCATATCCTTGCTGGCTGTAGCTAACATGCTTGTCAATGACAGCCTACGATTCACGATGTTTGTTCTTCAAGGGTTCTTTGACAGGGTTCCCCATGTCTAACCATTCCCTCTTCCCCTGCAGTTGGATCATCACCAAGATTGTTCCTAAAAATTCTCGTGCCCAAGAAACACTCCATTTTCTCCTTGATCACCCACGAAGATGCTTTGTATACCTCTTTCCATCTCATCAGACGTGGTTCCTCCTTACATTCGTTTTACTTCTCACTACGACCGATTGGTTGTCATTTCTGTTGCTCGACATTGGTAATCCTGAGATTGATTCCATCCCAGTCGGTCACCGGATCCTCGATGGTTTGATGCAGAGTGCCGCTGTCCGAGCGGCTGGTTTCATTGTTGTGAACCTAGCCGACCTCGCCCCTGCCGTCCAGTGCGCCAGCCAATTTGTTTAAGCGTGACCGCAACTGATGACCCCAATTCTCAGAGTATTATATGTTATTATGATGCAAGTTCTTTCAAGGTAATATTTTCAAACACTTGACTGACTCACGATATAGGTACGTGTCAGTATATCCGATAGCACTCTCCGTCCGATCGTCGAATGTATATGAAGAACGCTCTCTCGGCATCATGGACGATGAAGGCAGTTCCAATGCTGATGAAGAGCCTAATCATGATGGATCGCGGGCCAAGGTTTGGGGGAGATACCTGGCGTGGCATGCTCGCAAACAACTTGCCTTTGGTTAGTGTACCTTTTTTTCTTTCTATCATGATGCGACTATCAATACTGGCTGAATTACATCTAATAATCATTGACTGTTCTCTCTGGGTGGCCTTGAATAGATATGTGGTGGCTTGGTTTGGCATTAGTGCTTGTCTGTATCATCGAGGTAAAGCCAGTGGTTTCAGATTTTGAGATATGGTCTTCACTGCCTCTTCGTCGGTAGAGAGGTCCGATAAATGATGTCGCGAAACCATGGATGGATATCTTCCCAATCCGTGGGTTTATTGACCCTGGACTAAAATCATGCCCCTAATATCGACTTCGAATATTTTCAGTGTTCGAGCTAGTGTCTGCGTATGGAACCGTGGGCCTATCCCTTGGGATTACAGGCGTCAGTGTCGTCACTTTGGCCAAGAATGCGGTTCATTGTGCCAACCGGTCTTTCTCTTTCCTAGCTGGATGTCTCCCTATCAGCCGCCTTTTCGCCAGCCTCGAAATTAATCGTCTGTGCAGTCATGCTTCGTGGGCGTCACCGAGGTGCGTACTGCTTGCGATAATGCTAACTTGAGCTATCCGGATGTCGTCTCCTGTTAATTGCTTTTATTACCTCCCTTGACGACTCCAGGACTTCCTGTGGCAATAGATCGCGCGGTATTGTTGCCACGCGACTTGAGGGATGAGACTGCGAATTACGATCAGACTGCCTCTCAGGACCACTCTCGAGGCATTGTTGGAGCCCCAGATATCACCCGAATATCGCAAGGCGCGCCCTTGGACGAGCCGGGGCTTCCTTCAGAGAAGAGAAAACAGCGATGATGGGTGAATTCGGGGTTTTTTGGTCGTTCGAATGCCATGGAAAATGGCTAAATTGGGGCTTCGACTCACATGTACGGAGATCGTCTCATCGTGTGGATCGATACCGAATTGAAGCAGTGGCCACTTGGGCCATTGTATCTTTAGCGCTTGGTGCCACCTTGGCATATATTTTTTTTTACTAATAAACGACGATTGGTCTACAAAATTGGGGTTCCTCTGTCTCTCTTGTCCTACGTCGTGCTGATCCAAGTATGCGATGTTGTCATGTCCTACACGAGGGCACGGCGGCTAGGAGGCGGCTAATCCCGGCACTCCTGCTCAGATCCAAACCATGGTCCGACTCGCTGCAGTCCAAGATTCGCCGGTGTGAGCTTGCTTTTAGGGATTTCTCTTTAATCCTTGCGCCAATCCTCCTTGAAATGGCGTCCCCTGCATTCAGATCTTTTAATATCGCTGCTACCATCGAAAAGCTCGATAAACTTACTGGTATTGCTGCCTCGACACCACACTCTGCAGACATAGTGGTATTTCCTGAGGCGTTCGTGTCTTGCTATCCCCGTGGGCTTGGCTTTGGAGCCGTTGTGGGGTCCCGTTCCCCCGATGGACGTGAATGGTTTTTGCGATGTCATGAATCCGCTGTAGACATCGAGGGCGATAGTCCAGAGTGGCAGGCGATCAAGCAAATCGCCCGAGAGAAACAGGTTATTCTAGTACTTGGAGTGATTGAGAAAGACGTATCCAAGCATTCTACTCTCTTTTGTACCTGCGTCACGATTGGGAGAGACGGTACGTTGCTTGCGAAGCACCGCAAGCTGATGCCGACTGGGAGTGAGCGTCTTATTTGGGGCCAAGGGGACGGTTCGGATCTTCAAATCGCTCAAACCGATGTTGGAAAGGTACGACGCGCTTACCCTGGATTTTTTTTTCTCTTTTCTGGTTCTTTTGGGCTCGTCTCATTCAACTTTGGATTGATTGAAGATTGGAGCCGCCATATGCTGGGAGAACTACATGCCGCTGATGAGGTACGTCCCTCCTCATATAAATAGCATTGATGACTGCTATATGATAACCCCCCTTTGTTCAAGGTATGCCATGTATGCCATGGGCGTAGAAATATATTGCGCCCCTACGGCGGATGCTCGGGACGGATGGGTATCCTCGATGCGCCATATTGCCACCGAGGGGCGCTGCTTTGTTGTCTCGGTGAACCAATTCGCTCGGAAGAGTGATTATCCTCAAGATTACCCTGCATATGAAGGTCGGAATTTACTAGCATGCATTTGAGCGGCGTCGGGGGGGTTTAACAATCGATCGACCCTCCTACATCTAGACAAGCCTGCTAACCACATTGTCTGTCGAGGCGGTGAAGAGCGTACATAATTTGAGTCGCGAATTATTGACTCACTCTTACTCATTCAGGGTCCGTGATTGTGGGACCACTTGGCGATATATTGGCCGGACCCTTGTATGATCAAAGTGGTATCCTGATTGCTGATGTAGATCTCCGAGACATCATCCGTGCGAAATACGACTTTGATCCTCTGGGGCATTACTCAAGACCTGTACGCTCATGTGTTCTCTCCATGTCCCCTTTTATCTCCACATACTGATATTTATGCAATAGGACGTATTTCACCTCGTCATTAACAATGCTGCACAGAGTGGCCCTTCCTTTGCTTCCTCCTAGTTCAGGTCCTCTCATATGAATTTTCCTGCTAATCCGTTGAATCTCAATTTGTGACCTATCATCTGTAAATCATTTTCCATCAGGCTTCTTAGCCTTACTTGGACAGGATTCCCAGTTGACTGACAAGTCAAGAAGTGTTTGAAAAGCTGCTGCAGAATTCCGACTTGTGGTTGTATAGTTTATCCAAAGGTCTAGCTGCTGTTTTCTTGGTACTCATAGCAAAGTTAACGTGATAGGTGAAGAGCACCACTCCTCAGCAGAGGCGTAGCTAAATTATGTAATAGAGGTATAGATGTGAAGGGGAAATAGGGGCTCGCACAGGTAAGGCCCTGTAAGGCGGCACAGAGGCCTGTTTTGGTGGCCTCAACGACAAGTCACCCTGACCCCCTATCCAAATATCTTTGTTTGCCCCTGTGCCAGGCAATCTTCGGCATGCAAGAAACGAGAAAGCACCCCGAATGTTTTGATAAAAACACACAGGAGCCACCCATGCTTCCTCCCACCTGTACGGAGAGATTAGATGCATAGACACTGTCAGGCAAGGACTAAGGTGGTGATAGGAGATGGAAGGCCAAAACTGCCAGCCGAACGTGGGGGTCGAACCCACAACCTTGAGATTTCGCACGCCTGCAATAAGAGTCTCACGCTCTACCGATTGAGCTAGCCCGGCCACTTTGGCCACCCATTCCCAATCCTCCCACAACAGAGTCAGGAAGATTCCATATGGGTATACCCTCTTACACATTCAGAATTCAATATACATCATTATCGAAGCTCGAAGTAGATATCTCTCTGAAGGGAAATCAAATTACAAAGGACAAAAGGAATCAAAGTTATACTGGCTTCGAGTGACTTGGTTTCGGAGATAAGCCAAGTCAAGTTTTGACAACACTAGTGCAGAACTTAAAGCGTCCGGAAGCAAAACCGGGGTGCCCCGCTTTCAGAGATCATGTCCGACGATTTCCTTGCTCGCGAGGCTGCCGTACTTGGCACGAACTTCTCTTCTTCTGGAGCAGGTCTTGGGGGTGCCGAAATTGACTTTGACCGCGCGGCGTCTGCCTTCCCTGAACTCGATCTTGACAGTGATGTACCAGCAGTACCTGTGCCTTCGAGAGGATTGGAGAGTAGTGGGGGCGGTCTTACTGATGGATTTGGGGCGTTCGAAGGGTCGCTTCCTTCTCTCAATGGGCATTCGAACCATAACGTCAAAGTCACTGGTGGCGACGACGTTGTTCACCGATTCGAGAGCGAGTTCCCTGTAATCAGCACGGTGTGGACACCTTTCGCTTCGCCTTGGTGTGGGCCAGCGAGATTGGGGAGATCCTGCTGCTTATTCTTGTGTCTTGCTGCGTCTTTAGGACCACTTCACTCAGCCCGTGTCAAATTATGAACCTCCCTTTATCGCGCAACCGCAATCACGACCTTCGTTCCAAACCCCAATTTACCAAGCTCAGGTAGAAGACGACGAGCCGGAGGTTATAAGGCATGCATGGTCCTATGCCTACCCATTCCGTTTCCTAGCATTTTAATCGGTGAAACTACTGTAGACAATGGAGGGAGAGACAAGAGGAGGCAATTCGCCGTCGTGATGAAAGTTCAGCCCAGAAAAAACACGACACGATTAAAAAAGCCGAGGCGGCCATCGATGAATTCTATAAAGAATACAATTCGAAGACGGAGCGAACGATCAAAGAAAACAAGTTACATATCGTCTGTCTTGGACTATAATAGAATACTGATATGGTCGTGTTCATTTCGTCTGGATAGGGAAGCCGAGGCAGAGTTCCTCAGTAACCTCGAGTCGTCGCTCTCGACCGGCACGACATGGTCTCGCATTTGTGATATCATAGAGTTGCAGAATTCGCAGTCCAAGACCATCGCTCGTGCGGGACCAGGCACGACAGATTTGACTAGATACAAAGAGGTTCTCCTACGGCTGAAGAGGGAGGGTGAGTCAGCGCCTGGCGCAGCCGGCTATTAGTAGTTGTTATGCCGTGGATTGTACGGTTTATTTTTTTAGTAGTTGCTTGACTTCTGGCTCACCGCCCTAATGTCAGCAGTGCATCCCTGTGTTGCCTGGTACCGCGCACTTCTCGCCTTGCACCCTCTGATACAGTGTGTACTATGAGATATCCTCTGAATTCAGCCGTCTGCTCCGTAGCCTATAGCCTCCTTGCCAATGCAGTCCTTGTCATCGATATTTTTCGTATGCTGTCTGTCCTCAAGGCTAGCCATGTGAACAAGGCAGGTCTTTGGGTAGCCTTCCTCCTGACCTCAGTAAGCTATCTAAAGATGAACTGGCGACAGAGGTCAATGATGACCGAAAGAACCTTACAGTTCTTCGCTTGGTCAAAGGGCCTCAGAGTGCCATGGCATTCTTATGATGAGTTAAAAGCTAGTACAATCCGAAAACAAGGAGCGGAAGATGGGGAAGGGGCAAAAATTTGTTGTACTTGGTGTTATGAAGTGAGAGAGTTATTGTTATTGTTGCTGTTGTTGTTGTTGTAAGTATATGCAAGTGCAAAACGTTAGGACGACCGTTGAACAGGATGGGCGGTGTACAATGGATTAGAATATCCAGAAAGTGAAATGAAATCCAAAGCTGTAAAAGGTGTTTTGCATGGAATGGAAAAGTAATGTGTTGGACTGTGTACGTACTGATAGGCGAAAGTAATATTCACGTGCGTAGCATGCAGAATGACGAAGAAATACGATCTCAGGTGCGCCTCAGAGCTCATGTTGTCGACGACCGGCCTGGGGTACCGCTTTAGACTTCGCTAATTGCGCGAGGTCGGGTCGCCTAAAAGGTTGGTCTTCATCCATCTCACCAACGATGCCGAGACCCAGGCTCTCGAAAGCCTCATATTCAGCAACATCATTAGCAACTTCTGCCTCGCGCCATTCCTCCCATATATCGGGGGGATCGACGTTCGCAGTGGACAAGGTGGACTCCGAGCCACCAGAGGATTCTTCAGTCATGCTTTGTGTATGATGACCTTGATCTCCATCTTCAACGTCAACAGCGTCATGCTCATCGAATGTAAGAGCTGTTGGCGCCCGAACGGTGCTATTCTTGTTGGGGCTCTTAGCAACCTTGACAAGTTCGCGTCGAAGCTGTTTCAGCCCCTCGCCGACGCCATCCGAGATCCCGACGGCTGCATGCCGGAGTGGGAGAGTTGGGTCCCGCCAGCTATTGGGACCAACGTGCAGACCGTTCGGATAACTAGGGATAACCCCCGGCTCGGAAGGCGGGGGATCCAGACGGGCCTGAATAGCTGAGGCCAAAGGCTCATCGAAGGGCGATCCCATATTGGCATTACCCTGCACAAACGACTCGGCCGTGCCCTTATTGCGACGGTTCGAGGTTGCTGTGGAGCTTGGGAACGGGCTGATCTCCACTTCCTTTCGGACCTCAATCTTGGCGCAGGGCAGCTCGAAGACGCTCCGCAGAAGGAGTGCTTGCCAATCATCAGCAAGGGAATAGAAAGAAAATTGATGGGAAAGGTACACCGAATCCGGCAGCATTGATAACGAAGTCGTACCGGTGGACAATTCGGCCTCAGACAGCCAGCTACCAAAAACCAAACGAATGACATCAAACGCGATTCTCAAAGGATACGCAATCGAAAACTCACTCCTGCTCGAAAGACGGATGGACAGGGCTACTCTCCAAAAATTCACCCTTGACATCCTCCCACTCTCCATGTTTCCGGATATCCCAAGTCGCCTTTAGGCTTTGACGGGCTCGGAGGCCAGACGCTGCATTGCCACGGACCGTATGCATCATATGTGTTAGTCCTGAAGAAGGCAACGAGGTACTTGGCTTTGCGAGGGTGGTATGGGGGGGTGCATTCACCGCCGGGGTCGTTGGCGGGGGTTCGAGACTCTTGGTGGGAGGGATAATATTCATTCGGTGCAGCTCAAGGCGACCCGCAAATGGAACCGTGACCAATATATCCTGGAAACCAGTAGTTGGTCGTGTAGGAGACTGCGAATACGGTGTGGGGAAATTAGCGCTGGTGGGAGGAGAGACGTTACGGGGGCTAAACATGGAACGCAAGGAAGTGGATAGTGAGGGAAATACAGGTGAAATCAAGGGTCCTGATCCTCGAGGATATCCTGGTCTAGGCGGTGAAATAGGGGAGCCTGTTGCTCTTATATGGACGCGCGTTATGGAATGGAGATCAGTGGAGAGTGGTTGCTAAGAATACACGACTTGTCAGCTGAAGGTCGTGACTAGACGGGAAATGTCGAGACGAACAAAATCGGTTACATTCCTAACCCTTCCATCCACGTGCGAATCCTCATCTGTGGGGCCGCCATACGGGTTAGTAGCAAATATATCTGCACAACGGGCAATAGTCAGTCACCATTTCATTGTTAAAATTCAGGGGCACTACAAATGATAACTTACGCAATGTGCCAGCGGCGGTACTGATGCTAACCCAACGCTCATCATGAGCCCAACTCACACCTTCGACCCTGGCTTTCGTCATACCACGCAAAAGATCGTAGATATGCCATACATTCCGCTGACCCGGTCCGACATGCGAAGCGCCCCTTCGATCCCCCCGGATAGTGTTATGGGGAGTAATTAGAGTGGGCTTATTTATACTTGATGAAGAGCTGCGGCGCCTTGACCGGGAAGTAGACGAGGATCCATACACAATAAAAGGTGATCCGGAATATGTATCGCTGGGTGAAGGAGGGAGAGACGGTGGGCGAGGGGGACGAGGACTCGACGCCATATGGAAAGAATCGCGCCGCTGAATGACTCCATACCCACGCAACTGGAAAACCTTGACAACAGTCCCCTCTTCATCGGCTGCAGCCAATAAGGCTCCAGATGGCGAGATGGATAAGGCGGAGATCGCAGGGGACGAAGAAGGCCCTGCAATATCAGATGGCTGGGTAAGCGGGAAATGGGCCATCAGGAAAGGTGCTGAGGCAGGGGCCTGCATTCCCAATAAGGGGTAAAGGTCATACACCGCAATCCACCGCGTTCCTGCCGACTCCGCATCCTGTGGGCCTAAAATCAATGATTCACTCCCGCTCCCTAAGCGATGGTGGCTGCGGTAGTCTGAACTGGCTGTGGGCGGCGTCTTGAGGGCAGAAACGCCCCCTGGGGAAGAGAGGCGCCACTCTCCACCCGCTCTCGACCCGGCTGAGCCGGAAGTTGGAGCACTGCGGGAAAAGGACCACTTAGATGGGGCGGAAGATGGCTCCTGCACAGGGGGCTGCACTGAAACACCTGCAATCAGACCGCCCCACGTGCTGCTCGCGACAGCCGACACCCCACTCCATACACCACGCGCTGTCGTCGCTACCTCCGTCTTCATCGACCCTGCCAAACCCACACCGTCCTTGAGAGCCGCGATGCCACTCTGAAGTGTGGTAGGGCGATTGTGACGTTTTGGAGAGGGTGAAGATGGCTGCAATGGTATCGAAAGGAGGCGTCTAGAAAGGGACAAGGGGACGAGTGCCGTGTTTGGAGAAAGATGGAATACATGCAAACTGGAGAGGTCGTATGCTGACAGAACATGAACAGAGACGTCATGGCTTGCACTCTGGAAAGGTGGAAGGGATGTGACTGAATCTATCGTGGGAGAGGCCAGACAAACATGGCTTACCAGGGTAGAAACGACGATGAACAATTCGCTGACCTGCATG